TTTGAACCGCTGACCTGCTGATCTAGCAGTAGCCTGCAGTGCTGCATTTAACCACTGCACCACCTTGGCTCTTGAAAGGTCAGTAGTTCGGCAGTTCGAATCCCTAGCACTGCGTAATGGAGTGAGCTCCCGTTACTTGTCCCATCTTCTGCCAACCTAGCAGTTCAAAAGCATGTAAAAATGCAAGTAGAAAGAATAGGGAACACTTTTGGTGGGAAAGTAACAGTGTCCCATGCGCCTTCAACATTTGGTCATACTGGCCACATGACCATGGAGACTTCGGACAGCGCTGGCTCTTTGGCTTTGGAAAGGACATGAGCACCGCCCCCTAGAGTCGAGAACAACTAGCACACATGTGCAGGGGGAACCTTTCTATTTCTAATATTTCTATTACCTTTATCTTTAGCAGGCTGATTATCTAGTCCTCAGGATGGAGCTTGGTCAAAATCTCTTATTTCCCTGCTTATTTGAAAGCAGCATAGTAACAGGCTTAAGAAACTCTAGCATGGTTTGGTCAGCATATAGAGACTTGGATGATGGAGGAAGAGAGAATGGAGTATTTGCTAAATCTTGTGATAGGCTGGCAGTGGGAAATGTAGATGTTGGCAGTTGGGTTTACAGATAACGTCAAGTGTTTTAATAAAAATTTGAATAGTGCTCCGGCAGGGAGCAATTCCTCTTTTTCCACCTTGTAACATCCAAATCTTTTGACCTTATAATTATAGGTTGGGTTAATCCCCCCCCCCACTTCCTCTGCCTTTACTCCACTATTCATCAGTAGCTAAGAATCTGCAAAGGAAGCATAAAAACTATTCTAGAATGCGGAGTTAAGAAGGATGAGTGAGACACAGTGAAGTGCATTGTGTTTCTTCTTTCCTTTCTTGCCCGAGGAACCTGCCCCACTGTATATCGAGGGGGGGTGGATGTGGGGAGACAAGTTTCCTTTTAAATTCTTGGGAGTGCTTATTACTCAAGATCTCACCTGGAAAAACAACACGTCCCTGGGGATTGGCAAGGCCCAACAGAGACTTCATTTCCTTAGAGTCCTGCGAAAAAAATCAGGTGGACAACGGCCGACGACCTCTTTCTATCGGTGCACCATTGAAAGTGTCCTCACATACTGCATTATAGTAGGGTATGCTGGTTTAACAGCTGCGGACAGGGAGGCCCTACAGAGAGTGATCAATTCGGCACAAGAAACCATTGGTTGCCCTCTGACACCACTGGTTGACATCTCCAGATCTTGCTGCTTTAGCAGAGTAAGGAAGATACTCAGAGATGAGTCACACCTTGGTCAGTGTCTCTTC